CAAATTACTTCATAGTAATGAAAAAAATTATTTGTAACCAGATGAAATCATGTAAACTGTGAGACAATATTTCAGCTAGTGGTTACCCCCTCGGTAAATTATATGAAAAATTATAAACAATGAAGAAGTAAGAAATAAAGCAGAGGTTTTTTTTAAAGGAGAAAAGAAGACTGCCGATTATGATCGGCGGGGATAGAGGATGGTCTTCGTTGGCCCATTTTTATCGGACGGAATTTTAGCTAAAATTGAAAGTGTAATTCAATTTAATTATAAAAATCTAGGCTGAGTTTGGTTAAAGTACATTTAGTTGCAATTGATGTCCGGTAAAAGCGGAGCAGTCTATATAAAAAAGTAAAAAATTCTGCAAGAACAGCTGTTTCATCTAGCTATTTGAATTTAACAGACCAGCTGAAAGAAAGAAAGAAGAGGAGAATGAAAGAAGGAACGAAATGTTGCAGCTAATAGTATTCAAACAAAATTCTGAGAATGTTTACAGTATATTCTATTTTCTTTAATAATCTTTATTAATTCCTGTAATAGTAATGTAATCATTTCTCAGATATATACAATTTTTAATCAATTAACATTAATTTATATTGATTGATTCAGTGGAAAAATTCTCGTAAAAATTTTGAAAATATTAAAAATTCCTAATAATACTTTAGTATAATACTTTATTAAATTAAATATATTAATACTATGCAATTTTTTAAGATACTAGAGAAAATATTCAGAGAATTATTTAAATTCACATGATGAACAAGATGTTGCAATAATTGGCTTGCGGTGGATCTGCAATATAATTAATGAATGTGATTTTAATGAAATCATGTTTTATGATCAAGAAAGAGTAATCTCAAAGAGTGTTAACTGCTCTGTTAACTATTAGATTAAAGTTTTAATTACAGTAGCACAAAAACGTACTATAAAAACGCCATTAAACGATAAATGAACTAAAGGCTTTACAGCAACTTTTTCATTCTTGGAATCCTCCGCAGAGAGCGGCTTTGCCGGATAAAAATAAATGCTAAATCGATAGCAAATATGCATCGAAGAAAATCTTTTCTACGCTAAACTGTCTACCAAATCAGCATTGAATGTATTTCGAATAATATTTATTAATGAACATCGTCATGAATAATTAAATAATCAAGTGAATATATTTTCCTCCAACATCTTTAAAAATTGTAATATCATTATCATATTTATTATAAATTTTCGAGAAGTACAAAACACGTTTGTGATAACTAATCTAAATCATAAATTATTCATCAAGATCGCGAAGAAACCCTTAAATCCCAGTTGAAATTATCGGTGAATAACTTCATTCGTCTCCGAGTGTTCTCTGGCGTTAACGCACTTAAAACTTTAACTTGAACTATTTAACGGAAAGGTGTTGCCATCCCCAGGGACTCTATACTGATAAAATCAACGCATTTTCCACCTTGAGATAGAAGTTCAACAAAGTTGAAGAGGAAGACAATTCGAATTTGTGTAAAATGATGTGTTACTATAAAGATGTAAAAAAAAAGTCTGAGCATCCGCCGATGTCGGACGCTTATTTTCCCATGCATATGCACGCGTGTATCCGTAATATCTATAGGTACACGCGGCGCACCCCATCGATGGTCACGTTGTTGCGTGCGCGATCCGTACTCTCCCTTAGTCTCAAGGTGGAAACGGGGGTTGCGCATGGCCGTGAGTGAAGAGAAATTTTCGCGAATCGATATTATGCGACCAGCTGTAGCAACGGGTTAGTCACGCGGATGGTTTGTCCGTCACGTCGTTGCTTGGTCCATTCGCAAAGTAATCCCCGAAGCTATCCCCTAGCGCCGCGTTTCCTCGCAACGCTTTTCGGCACGCCACTCACGGTTGGAATTCTTTACATAATTCATGTAATTCATGTGTTATCCTAGAAAACCAGTTCTAGACTCTCGAAATTTACGTTTCTTTCAACATATCAATAATCATGATCCCAAAATCTATGAGTTTATGTTTTCCGATAGGGATAGGTCAATAAATCATGATTTTGATCACACGATACATCGTAACTATGTGTACTTACACATAAGGCATGTCCAAAAACGAGACACAAGAGATTTTAAAAATGTCTAAAAGATGTCTTAAAGATATTTTTGTAAATGGCATCTTAAAATCGTCTAAGATATTTTTAGAAGGTCTTATGTCCCAATTTTAGCATGGTTTGTCTCAGATAAATTGTAGAGAGAAAAGAAAAAAGGAAGGACGTTGGCCTTACAGAAATTTAATACTGGAAGGTGATGATTAATTACTTATTTTGAGTATCAACATTGTTTAGTGTTTTAACTCAAAATAATTTTAATATTAAATTGGATTTCTGTAAGGGTGGAGGTGTCAAGAATACGGAATAGTCCTTACCGTATAAGAGGGGGTCACTAGTGATCGAGCGATTTCTGTTTGTGCAAGTTTCTTTGAGTCTTTCGGTAATTATAAATTATATACTACATTTTATTATTTTCCAAAATAAAGTGCCAATATTTATTCTAGAAAGTTGAAAGTATGTTGGTGAATTTTTAGAGATTTTTCGAATAATTCTGAACAGGTGAAAAAAACGGACGGATTCTAGTGCTCCCGTTTGTATGGCACCAAATTGTAGCTGGTATGGTAAGGGGTAGTTAGAGGGTCGCCATCGGAATTGCTGCGATAGCGAACTAGAGAGGACGGCTTTCTCCGCCGGCCGGGGATGACGGGTGGAGTGGTCTAGAACGACAGAATTGGTAAAACAGCACGGTCGCCTCATGCCGTTGCGTGTGTACCCGTCTCGAGGTACAAAGCGAAGATGCAAACTTCGAGCGGCATTGTACCATCACGTGCAACCACTTGTCATCCTCACGGCTGCAAAGTATTAGCTCACTATCAGACCGCCTTTCTTGACATACAGCCGGCGGTACCGTCATTCTCCGGTTCCTCCGAGGTCGGTGCATCATCTTGAAAGCCCGACTGGTTTGCCATTTGCGCCTACGATCTTCGTGACGATAAGTTCGATTTTAGATAAGAAATAATCCTGGAATTTGATCGATTATTGCAATTTCTTCTTCGATGGTTTCTTCGTTTAAATTTCGAAAATTCTTACTTTCAATCTACATTGTTTGATTTTTAGAAAAACTGTCTGTATTTAGAGTATTTGGTTTATAGGTATTGTTAAATTTTTATATTTACTCGTAATTCTTTGAGGCTTTATTTAGGCAATTTCGGTTTCAAAGATTGACTCGATAAATTTTTTCTAATTTGATTGTTTTTTTTTTGTAGATATTGTAATACATTGATTCAACACTTCATCTATCTTTTAATTTATAGCTCTCGATTTATAAATTTCTCTTGAACTTGGCTCCATACATTCTGTCATTCGACATGTCGCATCTTATCGACTATCAACAAGTATAGTTGCAAATATCTTCTGTATCTTAAGACTAAGATAAGTTACATAGTACAAAAAAATATAAATACATTTTTATTATATTACATGTACATAATATTAAACAATAATAGTAAATACTTTTTTATTTCGATTTGACGATTATTTAAAAAAATTGAAACTATCTTTCAGGCATATTCTTTGTACATAATAATATCTTCCTGTTGTTATTTATAAATTTTTTTTACATTTTGCCACATTTTCTTCATTCATAGTCGAGCTGTATGTTTAAACAACATTGTTTCTATTAATCCTGAAATTAAATTGCGTGTGTAACTATGCTATAATGAGCAACAGAATATTGTTTCTGATTCGATAAGTCCTCGTAATGATGCTTCATTCGAGTGTACTATCAATTACAATCTTGAAATAAAAGGATAAAACCACTCATATATGTTAGCATTATACTGATGTCCTTCTGTATTTGATTTAAATTGAATACGGCTGTTCCTTATTATAGAACCACTTAACTTCAATTGTTTATGTCGACGAAAAATGAAGTAAATACATTATTTGACAGTAGCGAAATTTACATGTAATTCTTGACAGGTCTTATTATATACAGCCCACTTCATATATATAAGTACTAGTCTACCTTTTATATAAAACAGTACAGTTAGTTCACATAATATACTCTGGATAACAATATATTTTTCATAAAACTTAACGCGGTTAAAGATTCAATTTCATCAACTTAGTATCTAAAGTTGACGATTCACAGTATCCTATGTCCTGCATTGAAAGGAGTCTGCGCATTTTTGGTCTTTTGACTGTATAGTATTAGTAAGTAATACTTATATGTACAAACTCAATGTCGGCAACAAAGCTATGTTCGTCATTTTACAATATCATCAGCACTGGTCACTTACTATTAAATCATCGTTAAACTTAGTAAACTTATCTAACCATGCATGTATATGTATTACATCATATTTAAATTTTGACAACTGAATAACGGTAATATGCAATTTCGATTAAATTTAATCAAATTCGAAAATGAAATTAGGCCACATAAAATTTCTAAGTTAATACACAAAATAATATTTTATTAAATGGAATTAGAAAATTTGTAGTCTTATCTAAATATATATATATGTATATATTTAACTGATAGTTTCAATTAAGGATTAGACGTCAAGGAATCAAGCAATAATGCATATAGTTCTTGAAAATAAAAGAAAAATAGATCGAATAATTATACATTAGTATATACATTTCATTATACATGAGTTTTTGTTTCGTACGTGAGAATCAAATTTAAAATATCTTTCAAAAGATGTTTTCAATCACATATAAAATACTAAAAATTATTAATCTCTGCACAATACGTCGCTATATGTGATACTCATCGCAAAAGAGAAAGAAAACGATAATATTATTACGTAATTCACTAAATACATGTTAGACAAATTAGTGCGAAAGAATATTTGCCATAAAGCAAAGTCGAAATATCATTATTCAAAAAAAAATATATATAATAATTTTTATATGTATTAAAAATACTATCTAATTTCAGATTATTTATATATATATCCATCTTTTCATCGTACGTCACTTTATGCCATGCGCACCATAGTATTAACGTATCTTTCGCGAAAAAAAGAAAATTTTCGCAAGATACAAACAACTCATAATATATAATGATAGTCACAGCTGTGTCAGGCCATTACGTAATAACATCGTTTTTGTTGGAATTACTGGCCGTCACTGACGCATTATCTGAGGTCTCTACATAATAGTCAGAATTCGACATCACGGAATTTACTATGATCCCGCGTCGTGTCGGTGCGATTTGAATAGGTGTTGAAAATGATTGAGCGTCCGCGTATAAACTCACCGTATGAGGATTAGTACTACTAGTAGAACGTTCCAACTCCTGTGATTCGCCTATAGATTGAACAAAATACGTTGTAAACATTTTTCATAACAATATTATATGCAAAATAGTAATTAGTCTTACCGTTTATACTATGAGTATCAGATACCAGAAAAACGGTGACATTGGATGGTTCACCGGCACTAGTACTAACGCCATCCTCGGTAGTAACGTAAGACTGCTCAGAATCGGAGCTATTATCACTAGAATTACTACTGTCGTGTCTAGCTTGTGATCTCCTAGCTCTGTTAAAAGGATTTTCCCTTTGCCGTGTGAACGTTCCTCCTTGTGTACCTAAAAGAACGTTTCTCTGAGTTTCGCAACAAATCGGTATTATTTATTGATCATAAAAGAAAATAATCTCGTACCTTGGTGGCCGTCACGAATAAGAGGTGCTGTATCATCGTCCGAGTCACTCTCATCGGTCACAATTTGCTCGTCAGCTGCAAAAACCTTCCTTTTGCAAACAGGACAAACCCTTCGATTTTTTGTCAACCAAGGGTCAATGCATTTTGAATGATAAGCTAAAATTAATGAACAAATAGATAGTAGTAGTTTAATATTTAAGATATCTGAAGAAAATTCTAGTTGAAAGAATAAAATATCGTTGTAATGGAGATGTCGAGTAATTTGTTAGAGAAACGTACCATGTGCACATGGTAAAACTCGTAATTTCTCTCCTTCTACATAATCGTCCAAACAAATGGCACACGTCTCGTACGGATCACCCTTTGTATACTTATGTATAGGAATCTTTTTTAAACTAGAATTAGGCAGCCTGTGCCTCCGTTGTCGCCTCCTATCCTTTATGCACCTGACAATCTATAGTACATACGGTATTAAAGTCGATAAAATATTATATATACGTGGTATTTTATCATCGCATTTATGACTTACCATAAAAATAACTATAATTAGAAAACATATTCCAACAACAATAGCGAAAGGCAAGAGCAAATGGGTGTTAATATTGAATGGCAGATCATCATTAATTACTACAAAATAACCCTGATTGTATAAATAATTGTCTTTGATAACAAGTCCCGTAATTTCACCAACAAACACAGATGGTATCAAAATTCCTACGGGATCCTTTGCTGACATCGGTTCTGAAATAAGATAATCATCTCTTTGCCATGTATTCATTGAAATAGACAACGTTTTAGTGCTTCTATGTGTCATTAATATATGGCTAGTTTACCTAGTTCATTGCTGTTTACATTGTGAATAATAGCAGCATCATATCCAGCTTCCTGTGCCATTCGAATTTTAATTTCAAAGCTACAGTTATAACGTCGTATTAACGCTATCCAATTACCAGTGGTATTATTGTTTGGCGGAGCTTGTATCTTATGGCACGCAGTAGGAGGATCGGCATAAACCACCATGCCCTAGTAAAATTATATAACAAAATTGAAGAGATACAAAATATATATTGTTTATTTGTTACAATAATGACATAAGTAAAAAGCTATGACTTTTTAGTTGCTTGTAAAAAAAACAGAAAGGTAAAGAAAAAAAATGTACTTTAAAGATACATTTTATTCTTCTTTCTATAATTATTACATCAATTATTTCAAAATTAAAATTTTAATCATTCCGAACATCAGCTTTATTTTTTTTATTGCTGCACTAGACTGTGCTAGAACTTTCTTTTCCGTTTTTGCCAAATATCAAACCTATTTCACTTTAAATACAGAAAGTGTATACTAGAAAGTGTTATACTTCAACCTACACAAAACAGACTTATTCAAACTTATTTTCTGAAAAATTTCGTTTTTTTACCTATATAAGTCGTTGTAGCAAATAAGCGATACATCTGTACATATATGTATGCATATATATATATATATATATATA